AGAAGATAAGCCCTGCCCCATTATGGACTGATACAAAATGAGATTGAACAAATAACACTGAGTCTTCACAGCTTATTAGAGCAAAAGTCAGAGCCTTCTCATTGTGTAGCAGGATAGAGCATACAAGTTGTAGAAAACTGTCAGTGGGGATGTACATGATACACTAATTTCCCCTTAAGATTTATAATGTCTTTTTTACAGTATGTTTATCAGGCTTTGCTGTGTGCTGCTATATTGTGGCTTGGGAATAGCTGGTTAAAAATAAGGAGAAAAAAGTTCAGAAACAAAAATTTGCAAACGGGTTTTCCATTCTGTTTTACTGTAACCCTAATGGTTCTGTTCCATGTTCCATACAGGTTGTTTCTAAATGTGAACATGCTTACTTCTACTATGCAGAAATTGTGGTTTACATGCCCAATTTTAAAATTAAATTTTCAGTCTTACCATCTGAAGTCTATTTTTTTCCGTTTTCTTATATATATTAAAAAATTTCTGTTGAGGGAAACCAAAGCATACAGGTCATTCATTGCTCCAGTAAGTGGGCCAAACAACCTATTATTTAAGTAGCAAGTAATTGCTGAGATTCATAATATAATTTTTAGTAATCAAAGTATTTCTTGAGCTTTTTAAAGAAGATAGAATATTAAGTGCAATGCTAATGGGAATTGTGGCCTTGGAGTCCTTTTTTTGAAAGCAGCATTTCTAGGAAGTACCCATGGATAATAGGAGGTGGTAGGACTCCCTTCCTACAATGCAGGTTTCAAGTAAATGACTGCAGATCATTTCTTGACAGTTCACTTACCATCATGCTCTTTACTTCCTTACAGTAATGGAAGTGACTCAGCCAGCAATGGTGTTGGCCAACAGGCAAGGAGTTGCCAGCTTGGTGTGTAAATACAAGCACATCGGGAACGCACAGGAAATTCGAGTGACGCTGCTCAAACAGACGGGGGACGGGCTCACTGAAATCTGTGCCTCAACCTACACCTCGGAGTTCCGAACGTTCCGTGTGCAAGCGGTCATTCAGTGCCGCGTCAGCCCCGGCCGAAACAACGTGACCCTCACCCTCGCTGGCCTGCAGGCCAACGACACCGGCCTGTACGTCTGCAAGATGGAGCGGATGTACCCCCCTCCCTACTTCACGAACATGGGAAAGGGGACACATCTCTATGTCATTGGTAAGCCACAGCTTTACAGCACCGTGATATTTCCAAGCTAAGGGAGTTGCTATTATGTCTCAAAGGTCTTTAGAGTTCTGTTTGTAAGAAGTGAGGGCGAATACTGGTTTGAGCTCTGAAAATCATGATTAGCTCTTACTCCTTTCATGCCTCCCTCCACACACCTAAAGCAAGCATAGTCAGAGTCATGCAATCTATTTAGCAACTTAGGGATGTTTGATAGCATAAGCAACACCATGTATATCTGGACAGTTAGATACAGAAGTAAATAGCAGAGTAAGATGTATGTTCTTCTACAGACAAAGCCTATTTTCACTGGAGGTTGAGTGGGCAGGGACTCAGAGGTCAGTCCTGGTAGTATCCTGGAATAGCACATGCTAGAGAAAAACAGAGTGGAGGCTGATTTACTGACTATAGGGCCATCCTTAGGAGGCTCATGTGTGACATGACTTGTGTGATATCCTATGTTTTAGATCCAGAACCTTGTCCAGACACTGCCATATATCTCTGGGTATTAGGAGCTACTGCCTCAGGATTTTTTCTTTACAGTATCATCATCTCAGCTGTTCTTGTGGCCAAAGCGGTAAGTGCCATCAATTCAGCCTCATTCTGCTAATAATGCCCTTTGTGTGATGAGGACAAGGAGAAAGAAAGGAGAACACCAGGAACAAACGCACTGGGATGTTCCATTTTACTAGTGCAATGCTATTACAGTACTGTAAGATAAGAGAACTTCCTGGAGCTGCCACTTATATTTGTTTATAGCTCATTTGTGTTGCCAGAGTACTAGGAAGCAGTCAGCTTTCAGCAGCTGGACTGAGCCTGGCTTAGACTTGGATGCTTGAAATGGGTCAGAGTCCTGGACACTTCGGGGATCAAAGGCAACAGGAGATCTGTTGATTTCTTAACTGATTCACACAAAATCACAGGATTTGGTTTTTTCCTTTTCTCACCATTCACCTCCGTGCAAAGCAAATTTAAAGAGGCTTCTCCTTGGATAGTGGGGAATCGTAACTGAAAGAATTTTTAACTTCACAACTAGAAATCTCTGCACAAAGGCATGCAAAATGTAAGCCTGTGTTGCCTCTTTCCATGGGAGTCTGTAGTACTCACAGAAATGAACCTGATGGCAAAGCTTAAAACCAAACAGTACCTCTGCCCCATATTTTTCAATTAGCCCTTGTCCCTAGAGACTAAATTAAGCTGTTTGGTGTGAACACTCCTAGTTTTGCAGCAACACTGAACTCTGAAGCAGGAGTACCTTCAGAGGGCTAAATGAAGGGCAGAACTCTTTAATATATATATATATGTATATCTAAATAGCCTCTGTACCTCCTGATCCTCCCTCAAATGGTCTCAACAGATCTCCTATAAAGAGGTATGTCAGGGAAAGGGGTCTCGAACACCTTCTACTCAGTAAAGGCAGAACATCCATCAGTTTTCTCTAAAATGTGCTGGTCAATGATTGTGCCGTTATCATTTGTTTATTTTATTGTCTTCCCATATTTGACAGATAAAGAGAAGACGATGTCTTACTACTGGAGTCTATGTGAAAATGCCTTCTGAAAAGCTAGAGAAAAAAGTGATTCCATTCCACATCACTGGTAACTGTAACAAGGAAGGAGAGAAACCATTTCCTAGCTGGGATGGAGAGTCTGCTAATTCACTTAAGTTAAAGAAATAAAATTAATTGTCTTATTACAAAGGTGTATGGGAAGGAGAGAGAATATTCCCTGTAACGTCAATGGTTTGGAGGAGAATAATTATTGTATGCACTAGTATTAGAAGATTAACCCTGTCACATAAAAATGGCTACATTAGGCCATTGAATCTTTGAGATGTATTGTACCAATATGTAGTATATATACATATATATATATATACATATATATATATATATATAGCATTAAGAGCTATTGCTGTTCCAGTTGAGCATCTTACTGTCACATTTCACCATGCCTACTGATCAACTGAAATCCAAACACTATTATGACAGAGGCTTGTGTGTCATTGCAAGGCTGATCCCACAGGTGTGGGGGGCAGAGGCAGAAGAGCACACTAATGTACAAAGGAATGTTGACTTGTTTCCCTGCATTGATATTTATTGGTTCCACTTCTGGCGTTAGTGCTCTGCACTCCACAGAGACATCACCACAGGCTGGCACTGATGACACTGCTGCTCTAAAAGCCTGATCTTAGCTCCCTTCACTGGCACTGTGTCCCAGCAGTGCCGTGCTGGAGCTGACATTGATGATATCTAAGCCAGTGCTGACAGTTTGGTTGGAAAAGAGGCTCCAGCAGGAACCCTCTTACGCTGTGCTGGGAGGATGTTCCAGCTCTGCTGGGGCCTTGTGTTTTACAAATGCTAAATTAGCATCTATCCAAAAGGCAGATGTATGTTGCTGTGTTTAACTGACTCTATTTTCCATGAAAATATTGACAGTGTATAATCTTGTTTATTAGTTATGTACCAGTCAATAAAAACCTTGAAGCTTTGCCCAAATTCATTTCTTATTCACTGTTCTCAGAAGAAACAGGAAGTGGCTACATGTTAGAAAGCAGTGAAGACAACATGAACCCTTCCCCTCTGACCCTGTGTTTTGCCCTTGAGAAACAGCCTGTGTGCTCACGCCAACACTTACGTTTGCAGCTCTGCTCCTCACTGGCCACCATCACAGTCTGACAGTTCTTCTGTTTCTCTAGTTAGAGCTGCTGTGGTGCCGCTCAGAGACACTGCCAATCACTTTTTCACTTCCAGCAAAGTTACTTACTTGCAGAAGGTAGCTGTAACGACTTTGACAGCATCTCCTGTACATGTTTAAACAAAAAACTCGTCCTAGTTTCAAATCCTGTTTTCTTTGCACCACTTCGACACTCTCACTCACTAAATGCTAGTCAACACACAAAGCTGCTGGAGATTAAAGCTATTTCAGCATTCTCAGCTACTACCTACTACTTTGACTCTTTGCTATCAAAATTTCGCTTTGCAACTCAAACACCTGGCAGCATGTGTCTCTGGTTCACAGCTGTGAATCCATCTTCTGGGCTACACAGATGTGAAGTCAAACCCCACAGCCCTTTAATCCATGTTCCTGCAGTGGCAGCAGCTCCCAGTACACCAAATCTCATAGCTCTTTTAGTTACCTTTTGCCCTCTTGCCCATTCTTCTGGTGCAAAGAAATATTCCCATTCTCAGTTTGCTAATGTTTGCAGGTTCTAACTGCTCTTTGTTGACATAAAATTGTACTGCATTAAGTAAAAGTAGCATCTGATGACATATCCTTTTTCTGAAGGTGTTTTTAGTATTCAGACATCTGTCTAGGATTTTTCCCCTAATTTTTCACTACTTGGTGTTTTGGGGATAAAAAATGGTCAAAGATCACATCTGGTGTCACTGCAAAATGACCCAATTTCTGCCCATCAAGTGCAGCCTGATCAGAGAAATATGTTCCATGATTCCATGATGAAAAATAGATTTGACCCACACATCCACTTGTACAAGCTGTACAAAGCATGAATAATCATACAGGGCAATTTTTTCCACCATAGTAAGTAGTAGTTCAGATATCCTGTGAATCACATGTCTGACTCCTAATCAGGAATCAATTGTTTCTCCTTTTTCCTTTCCTTGACAATTCCTATATACTGGGACCAAGAACTCACTTTTCTTAAGCAATCTAAAAGCAGCTCAAGTAAATTATTCCTCAAGTTTATCCCTCCTGGGTGAAGAGATGCTTTAGACCTGTATCAACAACCTCTGGCCACAGTTGGCTGTGAATCTGTGTCACCATAGAACATTGCACTGTGGACATTCCAACTCACCTCCATTTCTGGCAGTTAGGTTGACCATAATTAGGCCTTCTGCATCTACCTGGACTATTTCCTCTTAGCACACGAGCCTTTCCTTGAGACATTCAGCCTGTAATGACCAGAGCAGAATTCTGCCATAAATTAGTAGCAAGTTGCTAAAATAGCTGAGTAGTGAAGGTTATGGGAGAGCAGAGCAGAAACGATCATCTCACGTATGGAAATAGCAATATTTTGTGTTTGCTCCCACACTTAAGTAATTCTTGGTATGATGTTTATTAATTATCCTATTAGAAATTATTTTGCCCAAACTATCTGGCTATTATGAACTTCTCTTAATTCTCAGTAGTTACTTTTTCATACCTTCTTTTACTTGTGCAGTGCTTCATTTTCTCTGGCTTTCCTTAACAAGGTAGCAGCCTTTCCTGAGCTAAATGTTACATAAATATGCTTTTTCATTTTTTGTTCTAAGCCAGATTCCCCTTTTGAATTTTCTGGCAGGGTAATAGGTGCACTCAAATCAGCAGATATAGTGATACAGTGAAGACCAAAGTGAGATTTCAGTACAGATTTTACTGACAATGATATTCTCATAATTTATATCTGGCACTACAGAGAGGAGTGGAGACTAAATGCCTGCAGAGATGGCATTTATACCTATCTCCATATGGTCCATATAGCAGCTAGTTCTGATGAGTGCAGAGCCCAGACCTCAGGGAATTTCCATTGTCCTGTGCTGCCCTCCAGAACCTTGAGGTCTGTGCTTTTCCCTGATACTGGGAGAGCACCTTTACATGATCAGCACTCCAAAAAATTTTACCCATACAAGTCAACTATAGTGTTCTGTCAGATCACAGCAGTACCAAAATGAAAGATGCAAACTCTAAGTCACTGTACAACCCAGAAAATGCAATAAAGAGGAAATTGTGCCACTTTCTGGGAAGAATGGAAAAAGCAAAGGCAAAAGGATTTGGTTTCAGAACTCTGCTCATTAGAATGGAGAGTTTAAAAACATGACTGAGTATGTTACCTGGACAGCCAAATTATGAGGCCACACTGCTTGGTGAGGTTCAGGAAGAGTCTCTTCTGATGTTCTCTTCACCCAGTCAGGAGATCTGGCAGCCTGTTTGTGAAACAGAGATGGTGAGTTTCTGGCTGCACAAGTGGGCATTCACAGGTGCACTTGTCTGCATTAAAGTGTAGGAATGTGTGTGAGGGGCTGAGGAGATTTGGAGGCAAAGTACATTGGAAGGTAAGACATGGCAGGCTTCTTCCTTTCACTAGACAAAAGCTGGGAATGTGATGGGGAGTGAGTTCTGAAAAATGAACCAGAAAATGCACCAATTTTCCCTGGGGTGGGAAGAGTCTGGACCATGACTAAATAGCTTTGCCTCTAGGAGAGGCACAAACAGGGATCAGATGACATATCCAAGGGCTGTAACATGAAATCCAAACCAAAGCAGGCCGGTGTATAGCAGATGGATTTATGCATTACAAAAACCAATCTACTGTTGTCATTTGCAAACTGTATGTTTGCTTGATCATGTGAAAGATACTTTGAGATAACTTCTATCACAGCTAGGCTGTGAGGCCTCTGCACTCCCAGGAAGGTTAATGTATATTTTGAATGCAGGTTTATGGCTGGGAGGGAGGTGTGGGGTAGAGGTGAAATTCAGGAAATTTTTGAGCTGCAGGGAATGAGAAAATAATTAGAAATACACAGCACCACACTCTGTTGATCCTGCAGATTCCTGAGCATCACCTGGGCACTTCTACACACAGACAGTCAGCACTTACATGACTTTGTTATCATTTTCTGTGAATGTTTTTGTGACTGATAAGAGAACAGTCTGACTTGAGGGCACTTTTCTATTCTGTAGAAAAAAAGGAATGGTGAGGAACTGTGGTATGTTTGAGCAAATAACAGTTACTGATAAAAGATCTTAGAGACCAGGGGTGGGGTGAGGAGCACTGTAAAAATTGTCACTGAAGCCATTTCAAAAGTTTTTGTTGTTTACTAGAGGGACAGAGCAAGGAAGAGTTCAAGGGACAAAACTTCATTGGGAATCATTAGTAATTGCAGCTGAGGTGACGTGGCAGATGCCTCCATGACGTAAGAGATTATTAACTAGTCAAAATTTCACTATTCTTTTCTTTTTCAATTTTTCAAATGTAGCTTTTCTTCTATTTCCATAGTGAGCTGTCTTAACCACAATCATGTTTCTATATTTTAATGAACATTTTTTAGTGGTTATGAAGTTACAGTTGAACAAAAAGTTCTCTGTTTCTTCATTGCTGGTTTTTCTTCTTCATTCTTTTCTGACTTCTGTTTGAACTGCTTCATTAAACAAAATGCAAGTCCTTGTTTTTAAGGCAAATGGAATATCTCACACAATTATATGATTCCATTAGGTAGTACTTTTAGATGACCACCTCCTGTAAAGGGAAATGTGACACAATCAGGAAACATGAAACACTAGGTAACATTTGGCTGGACTTTGACATGTTCTGGGTGAGATTTATCCACGTTCATGCTCTTCCCTGTGATGCAGCAACTTGTGTTGAAAGCTGGAACAAGCACCAGGGTGCTCTGTTCTTCCTAGACAGGATCAGTGCCCAGGATGTGGGTTTTCCACAGGAAATGAACGTTAATGTTCGGACCAAGATTGCCATTGACATGAAAAATGTAGGATCACTGGTTTTATAAGAATAAAAACACCTACACTGAGCAAATAGTCTGTGTTTCTTTCAAACTAGAAACTGAGTAACCAGACCCCAAAGACTCCTAGAGTTCAGTATAGACAGGCAATAAATGAATCTTGCTCTACATTAAATGTGTTGTTGTTAATTTACTACACCTTAGTCCTCCTTTTAGAGTTTCTCCTTGGGGATTTTTAGCTTCCTTGAACTAGTGATGAAAGGGGTCAGCAGAAGCACTGCTTACTTTTGTGCAAACTAGGAAGTCTTCCCTCTGCAAACCAGAAGGTGTGAGGGATTGGTATGTCCTACCTTCCACAGCACTTAGTGCTGGGCACTTGCAGCATCATCAACTGTAAGAAATATCTCAACCTCCTTCCTCCCTGTGAAAATTCTTTTTGAAGTTGGACCCTGTTGGCCTTCAGCTGATCTCCAGAGACCTCTCTCCATGTGCTGGTATGTGAGGAAAGCTGAGGTGTTTGAAGTTCTGTAGAAACTCTGATAAGACTTCTTTTTGTCTTGTATGCTTTCAGAGTTGGCCTTTTTACCTGCTAGACAGAGCTGCTAGTTCTTGCAACTGTCATCTTTCTACTTTGTTTGAACCCAAACAAATACAACAAATCGGTGATTAAAAACAGGCCTTCTGTGCTACAAAAGGTGTTAGGCAGTATTACAGTCTAATTGATTTGCATCATGCAGATTAAAAATGTAGATGAATTGAGCTGGATAAAAATTGTAAAAATACTTGGAGGGGGAAACAAGAACCAAAAATAATGCACATTTGAAACTGTCACAAAGCGTGGTGCCTTAGCAGTGCTTAATCTAGACCAGAAAGCAAAACAGTTCATTTCTTTGTAAGTTATCAAATCCTTCTGGTAAGTGACACTCTGGAAACATTCAACAGCTTCATAACTGGCTGACTTAATGTTTTACATGCAGGAAAGATGGCTAGAACAGCAAGAATCAGCAGAATAAGTTGGTTTCATAGCTGAGCTTTGTTGAGGTGTTATATCGTGTGGGTAGCATTTATAAAAGCTTTCTCACTTTTAATTCTGCAGCAAAGATGACTGTCTGCTTCACAAATTAATAATATTTTCCTTTCTCTTACAATGCCAAACTAATTCATTATATCTTACTTTATTATATGACTAGACTATTGGTCTAGTCTTCTTTTTATAGTACTCTCTCACTAAGATGAAACATCTCAAGGTCTTTTTTCTCGTCATCTCTCTGCAATAATATAATATCATTAAAATATTTTCTCCAATAGATTCCAGACTTGTGTTATTCCTCCTCCCATACGTAAGCCACAGGCACACATCTGATGTAAAAATTCCTCATATTAATGTAATCATTTATACTGCAATTTTCAGATTAACTTCCATTATTGTTTCTCATGTTTTTACTTCCTATTTTATGACTTTCATATATTGCATTAAATACAGCAATTGCTCTGCTATCACTGATCACAAGGAAGGTGTTGTTCTTTCATGGGAGTGGACAAAGACACTTCACTCTCAGGTTTCAGATGCCTCGGTTGGAAATGCACCTTCTGCGCTTGCTTTCCGGCTCCTGGAAGGAGGGCAGGCACGATGCTGACTGTGCACACGTGTTTGTCAGTGCTGGGTGCTCCTGAGGACCTGATTGCTCGTGTCTCATCCAACAAATATGGGAAATAGTTTGAAGGCAGTATGGGCTATGTCTTGTTCAGTTGGTGGATGACACGCAGGGGAGGGTAACAACCTGCACAGCGCCTGGATGAAGTCAGGTGGCAAAGGGAGGAGTCTGGGGGAGGTGAGAGGAAGTCAGCCTGGCTGCACACAGTGTGAATGTCAGCTCTAATTCAGGCACCTTGGGAAATGGTTTTCCCTAAAAAGTCGGTTTAGATGTGGCAACATGGCTGGTTTTGGCTTACTTTTCGACATGCAGAACATGAAACACTCAGTGCCTAGGTCTGCTCTAGAGAAATGAAGTACTTGAATTTAATATCCTCTTCCACTCACAGTAAATATGTCTACTTTGGCAAATTGTTGTGTATAGAAAGATTCTGAAAAAATGAAATCTGTTGGTATTTTTAAATTAAATACTTGGACTGCTTTGGAACAGTGTTTAACCTAAAAATTTAACTTTATCCAATTTATAACAAAAACGTCCTTTTTGTCAAGCATAAAATTATTTTTGTCTCAACTTCCTAGTTTGTTAAAATTTCAAATTTTCAGTTTAGGAGTGAATTTAAAACTATTTATTCTCATAAATCTAATCTTTGCAAAAGAACAGAAGTAATGGATGTGAGTGTCAAACCCGCAAAGAAAAAAAGATAACGAACCTTTAATATCACAAAATCCAGATGAGGTCAAATGTAGCGAAAACTATTCTTTTGATCTTCCTTTCTCACCTTAAAATAAAACCAGAAGTGTTCTGTGTTATTTGTGACATTTCAGAGGCTAATGAAGATCCAATTATTTTTCAGTAACTAGTCGGCCTTTTTGTTTTTCTGGTTATGCTATAGGTAGTTCCCATTACGTGATTCAAGTTAAGTTAATTATTATGACAAACAGAACTGTCAGTTGCACCTATCTGGGTCTTCCCAACTTCCTTTTAACTTAATCCCTTCCTTACTTTATTAATTTAACTGTAATGGAGGCCAGTATATGGAACAAAAGCACTGACACCCGTAGCTAACTAATCAGACTTGCACAAAGAGGTTGTTCATGTGGCTTTAAGCCATATGATTTTAAGTCACAAAAACGTACTCATCAGGTAATGGTAACAATAGTGTAAAGTTTAGTGATATGTTTAGGGGTTGCAGAAAGCTGTCCCAGCAACAGAACTGGAGGAGAAGAAGCTGGAAACAGCTTGTTGCATGTGAAACAGGTAGTGTGGGAAAGTAGACTTGGGATTTAAATCTGTTAAATATATACAAGGAAATACAGTAATATAAAAACATGCATATGAAATATGCGTTGCTCTATACTGAGCATGCCTGAAGGCTTTCCATGGTACCTAAACCCACTCTTTATTATAATAAAAAACCCTTAACAAAACCTGTCACTTAGTAATATGTTGTCTTGACTTTGTTCTGAGATAAAACCTATAAATTATCAGAAAATTGAAGTGTTGCCAGTTTCTGTCTTGTTGCTAGAAAATATTTCCATTTTTTGCTGAAGTGCTGTTTTCAGTTCTTTCAGCACGAAACTGATGCACTGATGATATGTGATCACCAGAGATACCACGTCACTTTTGTAATAAAGTGGTTAAAAAGAATACCCCAGCAAAATCTCAAATCAAGAGATTTTACAAGGTATGCAGAGTTCATTTAGTTCCTGGACTAATTTGTTCACTTGGGTAAGTACAAGTACAAGGCTCACACTTTCCAGTGGTGGGTGAATTGATCCAATTAGTCACCTTCGCTTAACCAGAATTGTCCAGAAATTTCCTACAGAGAACACTCATTTATTTAAAAAGCCTCTGTACATGTGTGCACATGCATGAATGCAGCAATTAAACCATGTTTGACAAAACATTCTTTGGGTCAAAGTAGCATTTTGTATTCGCTGGCAGAGCCACTTGCCTGAAGGCTGTGGTACTCAGCTGGGAAGAGAGACAACAGATGGCTGCTGCTCAACCCCACACCAGGCAGGAGCTTGCCTAGACCACTGACTATCCTAACCTTCTGCACTTTCAGTGGAAACTTTGAGGGCTGGCAGGCCTTCCTGATTCCTACTCAAAAATCTGTGAGAGATGGCAATTTTGCACTGATAAAGACTGAGAAATTCTTATCTTGAAACTTTACAAGTCTAATACCAAACATTGTACTGATTTATTTGTTCGTTGCATTAAAGGTCTTGGAGATTGCAGAAGAGGATATGCTATTACCAACACTGTCCTGCTACAGCATGGATCAGCAGCAGATTCAGTAATGAGTCTATGAGTCCATGTCTCACAACAGAACTAGGAATCACTGCTTTCAACAATTTTCAGATACTTAAACATCCTTTACCCAGTAGATCTTTATGACAGAAGGAACAGGTTGTATAAGGTTCAAAAACAATAAGTATCATTCTTTCATATGCAAGAAAGATCTCCAATATGAAAAACTCATCTGTGACTCTTATCAACAATTTAGGTGCTGCCCCCTACCAAGGATTAGCCTTTTGAATCCATCTCCAGCTGGAGTTTGAATTGTGCTGGTAATACTGTGTTTAATTTTTCTTTTCCTTTTTGCAAGTCACACACATGCTGCAGTCATGCCTCTTTTTTGTACTGTGTGTAGCTATTTAAGCATCAGATATCATAGCTCCTCTTTTTGAAACTGGTGAACTACATAGTCCTTGGCTCTGAGCCCTGCTGCACTCACTGTCACCTCGCTGGCTGTGGGAACACCCAAAGACACCCGGTTCTGCAGCAGAACAACACAGCAGCAGTAACTCTTTATGTTAGACATGGTAATATTATTATTCACAGTGATCAGAAAGAGTACAACAGAAATGAGCACTAATAAAATAGTACCTGCTTTACAGTGTCTGAGGCATCATTCAAGACCAGACAGAAAAAAAAGGTAGGAATGATGCTAAAAGACACAGCAGCACCTGTGCACTTACCAAGAATGACCAAGAGCAGATGTCAGGGAAGAGCATAAAAATCAAGGAAAGTATGCTATGAAAGTTCAGGAGCTTCAGAGGGTGGTGTCTTTCTATTTCACAGCCTCAGAGATTTCTCTTCCATGGATTTTTCCTGTCACTTTTTTGAAACCCTGTGGACTTCAGATAAACAAGGATGATCAGCTGTTCTGTATTACAGAAGAAATGGAAGAACTCGAAACAACACAAATAGCCTTGAAAACAGTGGGAAAACCTAGACAGACCAAAGGGGATATCTGGGGTAGTTTTCAAAGTTTGGAAACAATTAAATGTTTCTTTTCATAGCGGAAAACTAGTTATGTTTCCATGTCAACTAGAACAATATGTAGCTGCACGATATAAAGCTAATAATAAAGTCACCACTTGCTCCTCTGTAAACCACCAGTGTAAATGACCTAGTTACAAAAATGTAACTAGAAGGAAAGATGCAAATGGCCAAATTAATTTTTCCCCCTTCAACTATTTTTTTTCTTCAAGCAAAAGAAGCACCAAAACAGTCCATCATGCAAACACTACTGAGCTTTCAGTGATGTCACTAAGAACACAGTGTAACCACAGCAACCCAATGAGAAGTAGCTTGGCATGACTGGCTTACTTTATTTTTTATTTTATTTTTACACCTTTTTTCTTACCTAGCACGGAAGGAAAAAACCTCAATGGCCTGCAGAGGTACATGCTTAAATCTACATAACATGAATCAGTGATCTAACTACAGAACCCTATATTGTTGACTGCATGTGCAGCAAGACACCCAGTGTAAGGAGCACAGGTACCCTCACCACAATACTGTGAACACCAACTAAACAAACAGTGCTGACAAATGCCTGGGTCACAGGACACACCCCCTAACATCAGGCACAGAGCTAAGTCTTAAAAAACATCTGGGATAACCAATAGTTATATATATATAACCAATAATCACATCCAGCAGCACCTCTGAAGAGTTACATAGCAGCACCACTTTTGTCTAAGGGAGGTTAGTTCAGCTAACAAAAACAAGCATCAGTTGTGATGCTGACCTCTATGGTATGTACTGAGCACAACTTCAGTGCTGATGGCTTCACAAGGGCCATGCCTTGCCTCTTCTGCTGAGTACAGCAGGCAGACAAAGGATAAAGAATTCAAGCAACCAACAGGGCAAGCAACAAGAAGATTTAAAAAGAGATAGGACATATGCATGTGATTTTTCAGTGGTCACCTGAAACAGCAGAATAAGCAGTTGATCTGTAAACAGATCTACTGAGAGAAAACTGAGATTTACCACACCATATTTTCCAGGGCTATCTGATGAGACATAGTTCCATTCCTGGCCTGGCAGCAAACCAAGGCAGCTTCCAGCCAGAGGGGGATTCCTGAGCAATTCTGAAGTTAGGCTCAGGAACAGTGCTATCATTAGCCCCAGATGCTAATGCAACATTAATGTTTAGCAGCAGTACCAACACAGGGAGAACAGAGGAACAGCAACTTTCACCTTTTCTGACAGTTATCTAAGTTCATGAGAGTGTAAATGTAAGAGCTGTACCAGATGAGAACAAAAAAAATAATCATAGGTCAAGTATCTTGCCTCACAGATAGCTACCCAACAGCGGGTGCTTAGTGAGGAATGCAACAAGAGGAAAAACAGGGTGATGCTATCCTGAAAGACTCTCATAACCTACAGAAATTTGCAGGTTGAGGACTTGTCTTCGTAACTCAGCTGACTCTGATGACAAGACAGAAAATTCAGGATTCTGTAGTATCTATAATACAAACATAATACAAACAATATGGACACCTCTATTTCCCCAGCTTCACTGTGCTGCAGCAGGCTCCAGCAGGCTGTCTGACTTCTCCTCTGGGTATGGGTGTGCTTTGCTGTGGTTCAGTCAGGATCACATAAGGCTACAGACCCAAACCAAAGCAGCAGTGTGGCTAGGACAAGAAAAGCCCCCTGAGCAACATTCACTTTTAATGACCAGAAACCACAGAGCTGAGATCAAAGAGACCAAGCATGTTCTTTTTCAGTCAGTCATGGGCAAGCAGGGAACTGCAGATTCCTTTACAATGCATATACATCTCCCTGGACCAACTTAATAGTAGCTGGGAACAGTTTAGACTGAGCAGAGCTTACTGAGGTTTTATTCTGAACACAGGGGTCTATGAGCTACTGTGGAGCTTGCCCGAAGGTAACTGGATACTTCCTGCATTCAGGCTGACACTGTGATCTAGGTAAGAGCTGATTTGGATACGTTCCCCCTGAACTGTACTGAGAGTGCACTAGAGACACAGGACAGCTAATTGAGACTGCAGCTGGGCAGCTGCAGAGCTTGTTCTTTTTGCTCTGAGTGCCGTGTTTCCCAGGAGCACAAAGGTGCATGGATGGAGGCTGGGAACTTCAGTGAGGAAATCTGGAGTCTTTACATGACAAAGGCCAATTCACCAGAATATCCTATAGTGATCTGTAATGTGATCAATGTGGTTAAAGTAATGATTTAGAGTAGTCATTTCAATCACATGCTCTCTAGAATATAGATATCTGATTTCTATTTTTTGCTCATTGTCACTCTAATTATTACTGCAAATTCTTTTTCATGTGGTGACAGCGTCCAAGCTGGTTGCAAGAAGTGTGCCTAGACCCCTCCCTTACAGGGCCATTGCTGTGACAGAATTCATTTTGTTCTCCATTTCTTTTGGATCCTGGACTTGGTATCAACATCAGAAAAAGGTGTAAGCATGATCCAGTCTCCTATTCTCTTGAAGATGTGTGTCTTCAAGTGAGAAATTTGTCCTCTTTTCCAATTTAACACACGCAGGCCAGTGCCACATACTTTCTTTAACACGTTTGGCATGATAGATGTTTCCAGACCCTGTATGGCCACACAAGCTGCGCTGATCATAAGCATATATTTAACCTTATCTATGAACTGCTCCTATTTCAACCCAGTGCAATTAAACTAAAAATTTTTACTGATTGTACAGTAAGGGATACCTTCCAACCTGAAGCCTCTCTACTCTGGATATGTGTAATCACAATTTTACTAACAAGGTAACCCAGGCTTTGTCTGGAATCAGCAATCCTCACCTGCTCTCCTGAGGAGGGGGTGCTACAGCCAGAACGAAACACAGTGACACAGAGACGTGACTTCTATTCAAATGCCATTACCTCTTGCTCTTTCCTGGCCTGCTGGAAGGATTGTTTTTACAGCTTGTTCTTTCTCATCAAATTACCAAGAACAGATGAGCAGTGTTAAATACCTACACAGAAGACCAAACCTCCCTCTTGGCTACGGTCTTTCAAAACCCCCGGATCCCTAAGAAACCTGCTCTGTCCCTCCAAGCACAGGCATCGCAGACACAAACATTGCTCTGCTCGCTACGTTTCTTTCTGATGAAAAAGAACCACCCTTTTTTAAACATAAAGCCACGTGCACCTGCAGAGACTCGTGCGGGATTCCAGGAAACCGCAGGGAGCAGCCACACCTTCGCGAGGGCAGGCGCCGGGCCGTGCGGGGTCACCTGAAGGGCTGCACCGCAAGCCGGGCACTACGCTGGGCCGGGGTCAGGGTGAGCGACAGCCCCCAGTGTGGCATTAGAAACACCTCCTGAAGCTCACGCAGCCCCGCGGCGCGGCCTCCCAGGCCTGCGCTCAGGGCTGCCCCGCGCTGGGTATGCCCGTGCTCAGGGCTCCCCGTGCTGGGTGTGCCCGAGCTCACGGCCCCCCGTCCTCAGCGCTCCCCTGCGCTGGGTGTGCCCGTGCTCAGGGCTCCCTGCGCTGGGTATGCCCGAGCTCACGCCCCCCCGCCCTCAGGGCTGCCCGGTGCTGGGTGTGCCCGTGCTAAGGGTTCCCTGCGCTGGCTATACCCGATCTCGCGCCCCCCGCCCTCAGCGCTCCCCGCAGGCCCGGCCGTGCCGGAGCCGTGCCGGCAGCGCCCCCGTGCGGTCACGGGAGACCCCGCAGGGCTTTCCCGCCGCGGGGCTGCCTTTGTTCCCAAGGCAGTGAGATTCTGAATGACAGACACAAAACGGAGGAGACTTAGCTACATATCTGTGATTTCATTGTTTTCACTCCTTCAAATCCACCAAGGCCTCAGCTGTCTAAGCCTTGCTTCAGTTAACCACCAACAACAGTGAAGCCTGGCTTGAAAACACTTGAGAAACAGAGGTTTCAAAAGCGCTTTAAGTCACCTGGGAACAGACAGTAGCATGTGTGTGTCCTCAGCCACTTCAGTGTTTCTGGAAGTCCAAACCAGGGTTGTGCTGCTTCCCCTGTCCTTGCAATTTTCAGCATAACTTTTGATTTATCTACAAGAATGCATCATAACTTTGGGGACTGTTTCTGCTGGAGAAAGATCCTCTTTGTCAACACGGTGGTAGTAAGAGTTTACCTTTAAAAAGTAATCACAACAATGCTGAGATAAAAATCACACCACAAACCCCAAGTAGCACCGCAGAATGTGGCTCTTTCTATCCTAACTCCTTCAAGGCAGCTGACCAGATAACCACATAACAGGAGTCCCCACCCTACTACAAGCTTTGAAAGAGTTGGGGTGTGAAAATTTTACAAATGTGTATAATTCATCACTGTCACACCTAAAAGACGGTTAAATTTACATTCAGAAGCCAAATAACTTCCATGGTCACCCAGCTCATCAGCATGTATCTCACATGCACTGCTGCCATGTGCCAGACAATACCTGTATGGGTCCCTAGGTTTGCACTTCATTTGGGTTTTACATATTCACTATCCATTCTGGAAGACCTCCCTTCCAAACCTAGATATAAGCGGCCCCGTAACAAAGTCCCACACTGCAGCCTGTTGGCCACAGGGAACTGCAATGGCTTCAGAAAGCACACCCTTTTGGCCACCTACAACCCTGGCATTCTCCTAAATACCTCCTGCACACTCAGGGCCTCCTGCACATTGGGCCCTTTTTTATCTACACTCCTGGAGAAGTGGTTCAGTACCTCTGTTAGGTAACTGTGTTGAAGGACGCACAGGGGCTGGATACACAGAGGCGTAGCAGCTCCTGACATTGGGTGGAGACAGTTTTTCCTAGGTGGCTCTCAGTTGCCTTGAGTCAGCCAGTCTAAGACATTAGTCCCAGGATCTGAAGTGGCATTTTGAATCATAGAACAGTTTGTGTTGGAAGGGACCCTTAAACACCACCTAGTCCAACCCCTCTGCAATGCTCAGGGACATCTTCAACTTCTTCAGTTGTTCCCAGGGATGAGGCATCCACTGCCTCTCTGGGCAACTTGTTTAGACTTGGCTGAATTGCCACTTAGCGCCTGTTGACTGAATTTATAGGTCAATACCCTTGCAAGCCTTAGAGCTGGGCTAAACTCCTTAACATACTTCATTTTTTTCATCTTTTAGGGAAGTCAATGACAATGAAATATTCTCAAGCATCATAAAAAAAAAAAAATATCCATAGGGTACCTGAGCTTGTACCAAGAAGCAAAGCCACACACACTGCAACCCCAAAGGGAACCATCTCATTAGATCTACTCTGCGGGGAGGTGCCCTGCTGCTGAACTGAGCACCAGTAGCCTCCACTGTCACATTGATGGAGAGAATATTACAGCATGCCCCACAGGCCTACAGGAGAGATTAGACCAATATATCAGCAAAAGAGGCATCAGACAAATGAGGGAGCACATGAGCTGCATTTCAGGCTGAAATCTCTACATACTGAATGACTGCAGCTTGTTTACACACCTAATGGGGAGTGGTGCAGATGGGAAGTGGGATTTAAAACCATCACAGGACCTTAAAAATAGCACAGTGAAAGTCATTGTTCCCCTCCTCAACTAGGAGGACAGGAAATGAAAACACATGAGTGGAGAGGCTTTCTGCTCCAGCCCCGAGGGAATGACCCAGAGTCATGAGAATATAGGCCAGATATTGAAGCAAAGAATGAGAAGCAGCAGGAGACAACGGAATACAATTTGTGTGGATAGACTGTAGAAGCCTCTGCAGAAAGAGTCACAAAACGTTCTATTGACAGAATATTTTATATTGCTGTGGGCAACTGCTCACCATCCGCAAGCAGAAGTGGAAAACTGTTGGTGAGATGGAATAAGACACTTCAATGCACCTTGGTTTCACAGCAGACCTTGCAGTATCATTCTACTAACATGGACATTGTTTAGAGTGGTAACAGTAAGTATAAATAAAAATTATGTGATTAAAGAGAGCAAAGAAAAATATACATCATACACACAGTGAAAATCTTTTCTGTGTCCTTAGGGAAACTGCAGAAGTGTTGTTTTCCAAGTTACTTGGAGCTAGAAGGCAGAAGCACTGAAGATTTGTGGTGTACAGACTAAGGGGTGAGCAAGCCCATTTCTCTTTGGAACTCGGTGTATCACTGAATGCATTTTTAAAGGCATAAAAATTCACATAAGGCTTTTCCAGGTTGTAAATAGTCAGAAGTGAGTTGATAGAAAAAAAAGGAGATTATCACTATAGAGTAGTGTTGTGGGTAGGACATGAGGAAAGAATAGGGCTTGAGGAGAAGGAAAAGCTGCATTTCAGACAGGATTTACTGCATGTGGTGAAGGGCAGCCTCTGCTTGAGGAGAAGGGTAGTCAGAGACTGGGGGACAATCAGGTTAGAGGAGGAAAGAAGCCAGCTCTGAGAGGCGTGTGTGGATGGGAGAGTAAAAATCAAGACAGAGAAATGAATGAAGATGGAAAAAGGAAACACGTGTTTGTGAGCAAAAACAGTTGCAGTTGTAGGAAATGTGTTGTGGAAACAGACTGCTTGTCCCAGGTGGTTAACTGTAACCAACCGTAGTATTTACAGGAAACATTTCCAAATTGCAGTAACGATGTCTTTGTGAAGTAGGTGAGTGCTGACAGAGGAGGGAGGCAAAGACAAAAGAACTGAAAGGCGGTGGAGGAGTCTGTTGGTGAGGACTAGAAGGTGAGCATCCCTTGTGCTGGGCCCTGAGCAGACTTTGTGTCTCTTCGCTTGTGAATATACACCGTGAGAGCCCCAGGCTCTGCTGGCTGATCATCAAATACACTTGAAATCACTGTTCAGATCAAACTTCAGCGTGCTGCCAAATGTACCCCAAAGTGTACTCCAGGCTCGACCCTTTTGAAACAAAGGGATCAGTGTGTTCTAGCAATCCCAAGTGCCAGGAAGCAGAAAAAGAGAAGGTGTAATTCCAGACTTCAGGCTATAATTATAGGAAAGAGAGAGTACATAACATATACAAACTGTTTACTGGCCTCGATTGTCCTAGTGAGATCTATGCCAACCAAGCTATGCTAGTAGCTATTCTTACCCCAGAAGTGAAATAGATGTGTATTAATCATCTCTGCATTGGTATAACTGAAACAGTCACAGAGAGAGAGGGAAGGAGTAAGTTGCTCCAAAATAAATATATTGGTTAAAAAAAAAATCTTCTCTATCAAAATTAGTTTCCTAACAAAATGTTTCAATTTTTAAGAAGGACATCAAAATTTTGAACCCTAACAACACTACTGATTTGTTTTGAAGCTTGTTTTCGTAAAAAGTTAGCTAAAGCTTTTCTCAAAGGAATACATTCCCCTCCATCTTTATTGGCCTTCCCAGCCTGTGGTAGGCTTTGTGGGGACTCAGTTCTTGGTGTGTTGTCAGCATGCTCTCCCAAAGATATGGATAGGGGTACTTGACACATGATTCTCTTCCACCTTCAATTTTGTAGCAGCAGCAGCAGCTCTTTTTACTACAAGTCTTTCTGGCAGCATCTCCTATGCTTACTTGAGGGACAATAAAGGTCTTGTGCCAGGAGAGGGCTGCTCTGATCTTTCAGCATTCCCCATGAGTTTTGTGGGGAATGGAAAAGATGATCCTACCTGGAACCTCAGTAGATCCCAATGTGGGTCACACTTTCATAGGCAAAGTTCCAGAGTCAGATGTATCTTTTGCAGCTTTATCATTGTTTGGACCTCCATGTATTACTTTTCAGCTTCAGAATTAAAACCATACCACAGAAACTTTCTCTAGTTAAAGTTAATTGTGCTTGGCTCCAGAAACCTGAGCTGAAAATTTGGATCAAATTCTGACTTGACTCAGGCTTAGCTCTGATTTTAATTTTAAAAAAGCCAAAGGTTTGCAGGACTTTGAAAAGATTTGAAGAAAGTAAAACTTGTTACTAGTGTCCATGTAAACACTACTACAGCAGTAACAGTGAAAGAAATTAAATCACTTCTTGAGGAGAAGTAAACCAACATTTAAATATTTATTCACACAGTATAAAATAGGAGTGAATCTGTAACACAATCCTGTTATTCACCAGTTATTTGGTACCACTGCATGACCATTACAAGAACTCAACTCTGGGAATGTCTGTAAGGCACCATTATTAGTCCTTTGTGTTTTCATTTTGTGCAATCAAAAGTGCTAACTGCATCAAATATATTAAACGTGATTTATAAGCTGCTTTTCTTGCATGTTATCTGCACTAAATTTAGTATTATAGACATAGAATAAATAGCCAGGACTAAATGACTGTAGAACATGTTGTCACAAGGGGTCCTGAAACATTCCTGGAATACAGATGGATAACAGGCTGGAATAGAGTGTGCTGCAAAAAAGCAAGGGAGAGGGAAGGACAGAAACTTTTGACCTAAGGCCCCAGGGCACTGGGTCTAATTTCCTCCTCTCACAGAGCTGCATGAAGTTTCTCATGAAACTTCAGGCAAAGCAAGGCTGACCTCCAGGCTGGAAGTCACACTGGAGTGAACCTTTAGGAAGTCACAGGGCTGAAGGGATCTTTCTGCGACTTGACCATGTTCTTCCAATGAATTTCAGGACCAGGACACACAGGAGACTCCTACCCTACTAATGAATGGTTTCCACATAGAGCAAGACCATTAGTTATGTAAGGGCAGTTGTATTGTAAGCTAGTTTAAAGAGGCTGCTGACCATGGCCATCTGTAGATGTGTACTGTAGATGACTGTAGCCCCTGTTGTGACAGACTTAACCAGAAATAAGTCTTTGCAGAAGTGAACATCAAAACTAATGTCAGAAAATCTTTCATCTTCCTGTCCATGACAGCAAGCCATGACATAGGAAAAAAAGCATTAAACTCCACAGGTGCGTGCAATAGCTAATGCTGACATAGCTATAATGTAGTCAGGGGTTAAATTACAAAGTCCTTCTGATTATCTTACAATTTCCCCCAGTACCCACAAACCACTTCCTTTTCTACCCATGTGTTCTTCCTCATCTTCACAGCAGACAGAAGGATGGTGCCTCTGTGTCAGGCAGGCATGAAGTCAGTTGCTGTAACTTTCTGTGTCCTCTGCTTTCATTTTGAAGCCCTGTACAGTGAGTATAATTTTGGATTATTCTCCTTGCAGTAGGTATCTCTACAGAATAGAAAGAAGCCAACGATGGGAGACAGTAAATGAGGCATGATAGCAAGGGGTTGGAGGATAAAGGTAATCAAGGGAAACAGCTACAAAAAGATAGCTCTCAACTAGAGTTGGTGGGAAGAGAATTCCTGCCATCACAGTGCATTTGCTCTGAAACTAAAAAGTACCAGTTTTAACTCTGATGTTCTTTAGCTCATCTGCTCAGCATTACCCTTTAGCTGTTTAGACTGTAGTGCTTCAGCCAGCTTCCCTTGCTGGGCATAAGATCTTACAGCAGCATGATGGTGAATGGCTTAATAAAGAGAAGCCAGGTTATTAATATTAAACCTGCTGTTGTTTGGACAGGGAATTTTTATGCAGTGAAAAATGTATATGGCATGGAAGAGTGGACGAGTGGTTTGATGCAGCCTTGAAACACAGACAGACTGAAAAGGAAGCGTAGCATTCCTGTGCTGTGTTTGAGAAACTGCACAGTGACAGCACTGATCTGGTCCAGCCATAAACATGGCTGTAGTGTTTAGCAGGCTTCAGTGTTTTATCCCAGCTACGCAAAGTAAAATACCACAGCTCACATTTATCTCTGAAACCCACTTATTGATTGGGCAGAATGGAAATACAGATGATACCTGATTAGGAAGAGTCTACTTTTTATACATATTCTGTCCAAGGATTTAGTATAGTGCAATATAAGTAAGACCTGAGATATAGTGTGTGCAGTTATTAAGCATGATCTAAATATGCTCCTTTGAAGGTCATGTCACAGGCTATTAATATGCTTGCTTCTGAAATTCTAGTGATAAAGGATAGGTTTCAAGCCCCCCTCTAAAATTTAAGTACTTCTGAGGTTTCATACAAAACTTAAGCTTTCATATAAATAAAAACCAGTTTTCAGCTCTGGCAATACAGATACTAAGGCTAACTAATACGTGGATAGCATACTGAGTTTTCAGATAGAATGGAAAGATGGGTGAAATCACAGGAAAGGACGATTGTAATTAGTATCACTAAAGGGACATGAGCTGCCCTTTTTCTCCTTTGAAAGTTATTCTTAAATCTACTAACAAAAAGTCCTTTCAATTAGGTTACATATTTCTCACCTAGTCCATTTAGCAGGTTTACTTGTCCAGCATGCTTCTACACATGGCCGAAGCTACCTAAAAGGCCACTCCTTGTGGGCAAAAACAGGCTGTAATTTTCAGGGTGCAAATAATTGTTCTATCTGATACCCACATTTTTCCCTTCCTTCTCCCTTCCTTCAAATATGGAGAATAGATTTGGGAAGGGGACTGGGGAGAGAAGATGACAGGATAAAGAGTCTGCCTGTAATTAGAAATGGTATCTCTCAAGTTTTTTTATCTTACGCTGTACTCAGCATAAAAAGTACTAGTTATTACTATTCCTGTTAAAAGAAAAGTTCAACCTGATGGAAGACACATCACCATGATACTCTTACTTAGAGAACAAGCTAGGTCTCCAGAGAGTGCTGCCCAGCATTGTGGCAAATTTTTGGGAGTAAAAGCAGAGTAACTACTGAGATTTTGGTGTGTTTTGTTTGGTTTTTTGTTTGGTTGTTTTTCTTTTTGTTTGTTTTTTAACTTGGCAATTTACAAGCCCTACTTAGCAAGCCTAAAACCCTACAAGCAAGGGTAGGGTTTTTTTCAATGTAAATAGGTCACAGAAGGGGACATATATGTGCACATGTGAGTATTATAATTTGATAACCCAACTGTGATAAAGGAATAGTTTGTAAGAGCATGGAGCCTCTCTGGTGACTGTAGAGAAACATAAGCTATGGGATTTGGGAGTACAGAGCTGTAAGTAGGATTCCATAGCACTTGAGGCCCTTGCTCTGAAACACTGCACACGAGCTTTTGCACGTCGACATGGTCATTTCTTAGAAGGGCTTCTGAAATATTATCAACAATGGCTGTTGTTTAGTGGTACATTTGATAAGAGTTTTGGTGTTTCTCAACACAAATTATATCATAAAAATAATTCAGATCATAGATGGCTTCCTAGGATAATTCTGGTCATTTCTTGCTTTGCCCAGAAGCACTCTTTCCTCTCTTTATCCTTGATTCTTGAATGATAGGAACATCTTAGTTTTAGGCATATGACTAATGACACTGAATTGACAGTGTCATCTTTCAGAGTGCCTTGAAAGGTAAAAGCTATAGCAACTTAAAAAACTGTATGGTTTCATTATGCATTTAGTATTAACAAAACAAATGGGTTTGTTTTAGAGGCAGGGTCTGCAATCTCCTTGTTCATCTTCAGAGGCAAAAATACACAAGTGAAATTATCCTTCTTTTTATCAGCTAGTTAGCTTTCTGAGAGCCATGGCAAATAATACAAACAGCAAGAAAACCAAGCTCCTACTCTAAACCTCAGCCTTGAAAAGTGACTGAAAGTGGTTTTTAAACCTCTGTTAGGACCAAAATGTGTAGCAGATTGGTGATGCTTTCAAATTGCACTGGGTCTGCCAAAGAGTAACTAGAAAGCTCAAAATTGCAGTCCCATTAAAATGAAAAGAATGCACCTTCCATTGGCCTCAGTATCCAAGCACACTACCATAGAAATTCCCAAACCTCTGGCCAAGGGATTTCCTGCTGCAGTAAAGATGAAATTGAGAGGGAAATGGACATAATTGTAAATAAACATATACACAAATGCACATCCTTTTCCATAGTTTACTATAGCAAGATGTTACTTCCATACACATGTTCATCTCTTGGGTTTACATCTGAACCATAATATTTGTCTTGACTCTGCTTCACATCAGGTGAACCAGGAACAACTCCATACCACTCCACAGTGTAACACTGCCAGGAAACGAATGAATGATTTGTTTCCTCGTCTCAAAACCTTCATAGGCAATTGAATTGTCTCTTCTATGACAAATAATGAAGAGGAACCTTATGGCCAAATCTAGGCGTGTTTAGATTTTAAGCATATTGAACCAGTGACAGTCTTCTGTTCATTTCCAGCAATACCATGGTGTATGAGGTGGTATTAGGGAGGTTTAGTCAGTGAATCTCTCAATATTATTGGATGTTTAAATATAAGTTTCCTGTTTCAAAGCCTACCAAAAGTACATTCATTCTGACTGGAGCTTGGCAAATGACAACCCAAGTGTGTCTGGCCATTAAGTTACAGGTCCATAGGATTACCTAGGAATGAACTGGCACATCTGGGCACAGGACAACAGCAATCAGGCACAGGGAGGGGGAAGGAGCCACCTTTTAGTATTCAGTGAGTGCATTCACACTGGGAGCTGATGCAGTGAGTTGAAAATTTATGTCAGATCTCACCAATTGTGGTCATCCACGTAGCCAATTTTGTGTTTTAAGCTTAGGCACTGTTAATCTAATTTCAAAATGTGCTGCCTTTGTCCTATGCTAAGCACAGTCTTCTCTGTGGGCACTTGTTTCAAAGGAATATTAATTGCATCACATTTATCAAAATGCTCATTCAGAGAAATACATTACTGAGTCTTTCTTGAAAATAGGCAGTTTAGGCTCCTGGGTCTGAGAGGATACAAAACAATCTTTCAGCTTGACATGAGGTCACATGAACTAAATGCTTAATGACCTCTCTCTGCCCTTTTCCATTAAAAACAAGGATTAAAACCGTGATCTCTGACAAACATTTTAAACTACCCCGTATGAAAGGGCAATTTCATTAGCTAACAGCCTAATTGAACTATTCTCAGAGACAAACAGAGAAAACAAATTCAAATTTGTTGCTTCAGTGCTCAGAGTAGGGTAGTGCCGTGCTCCTCTGGGACGCAGAGGGAATATGGCACCACTTGGCTCTGTGGCTGCCCCGACAGACTCAGCATCTGCCTCTCCTCTCAGATGACCAGGGACAAATGTAAAGGTCTCAGCTTCAGGCAAGTGCTTCTCAGAAGTATCAGAGTAGCTTAAGCATTCATCATGTTCCCTAATTCTGCTGTACCAACACATTTGTTCTTTATTTCCCCTCCCTAAATAATTTCTCTGCTCTTTGCCCAAATTTTAAAGGTATATGTTGCCAAACTACAGAGCATTTTTAAAGACCTTTATTTCAAATACTCTTCTCCTAGCAGCAAGGGTTTTTTTCATCATGCAACGTGAGAGTCATCAGGAACTGTTTCTTTATTTGACCTTTGCTTTCAGCCTTTCACACTATGTAACATTTTAAGGGCTTGCACTTTGTCTGTGCATTCAGTGGTTCTAGAGCTCTGTTTCACTGTGGGTTGGCAAGTTGTGTGTTTTGGCTGCCTATCTTCACACCAGTGGTCCAAGATGCCAAACACCTTGTCTGTTTTCATACACCTAAGTAACAGTCCTGAGCAGAGTACAGATATTAGAACTGTCGCTGAGTTAGATAAGGGCACTGATTGTGCACAGTAAACCAAGAAGGATGTGGTAGCCAGGAAGATGGTAAATCAATCAAGAAGGGATAAAGTTTCTATAGCTTTCCAACTGAGCATTGCAAAGTGTCTTCCAGAAGTCCATTAGCTTATGTGTCACGCTAAAAATATTTCAGACTAGTACCACTCATGGAAATACCCTTGCCAGTGGCAGGAATTGCGGGGTAAGGATTCAAAGAAGGAAAAAGCATGGACACTAAAAGATTGCCTCTTTCCAGAAAGAGTTGAGATCATACAAAGGTACCCAAAAGAGAATAATCCTCTGTTCCTGTGCATATACAGGCCAGATGACCAAGATAACAGGTGCCTTGGGAAAATGATTATTCATACTTTGTAATCAGTGCACTGCCTGGCACAGCTGGGGACCTGCTCTGTGTGGATCTAGACTACCCTGGAGCAGTAACAAGAAGAATATTATCAAAGTCTTTAAGTATTTGCCCCATAATTCCTTAGCATCATAAAATGCTGATGTAGAGTGTATTTCAGTCTAAGCAGCCTCTGAAGAACTTACACAGGCTCCCAGAAAACAGGAAAAGCACAGTTTTTCTGTTTGTCTGTATACCTGTCTTTACATTTAATTTTAGGACACTGCAAAAAGAAAAATTCCAAATGAATCACTATCAGACTGGGCTATTGTTGCCAGTACTGACATACAAACCATTTCATAGTATTGCCACAGTGGGTGGTGATGGAGGCTGCAGCTTGAAGGACCAATCCAGAACACATTAAAAATGTGGCTGCGTCCTGTAATGAAGGACATCTATGAACAATGAAGGAAAAAGTTGCTATTGAAAAAGGAATAAAACCATATGCATTGCTTGAAGGTTTTCTTGCTGTACATATTGGAACATGAACTACATATTCGTTCTGGATGTGCCATAAGATACTTTGATGCAGAGCTGAGCAGTGGGGGAAACAGAATAAACACTGATGGAAATGAGCACTTTGGTCTGGAAACAAAGTGTAATGCTGGCTCATTGCAGACTCAGATTCATGAGAAATCAAAAGTATGCTATATTACATGGGCCAGATTTCCTCAGTATTTTGCAAAAAAATTTTACTTCTGTCTCAGTTTCCGTTTATGAAGTACACCTATTACTTTGCAGATTCTTAAAACAGAATATGTAAATGCTATATGTATGATAAATATAAATTCTTGCCTTGAGCATTTTCTTTCTACTTTGCTTTTTTATATTTCATTGTTTTATCACATCATATAAGTTTATAGTGTAGCACAGAAAGGATCAGACAGGCTAATGATACAAATTAAAAACTTGCTTCAGCATCTTAACGTTGCATGGCTCAGCCCTTGTTCTTGCATCTCCCTTCTTGAATTTTAAACAGGAAACAATTTTGTATTTTTCAGGAGTTGAGAGCTGCTCATCAAAGCCATGCAAAAATATAGGTAAGACACATTTGCCTAATTTGGTTTATGGTTTTAAATGCCTTTTTAGATCAGAAAATACTGTCCTTGAAGAAAAAAACTGTCATTTTTTACAGCACACTTTAACATATTTCTATTTGAAGGAGTTTCCCATGCTATTGGTTGATGACTTTACAGAGTCAAACTGTGAGGTCCTTGGTCAGTTTACTTTCTTTTGCTTCTCCAAGAAATTTGCCCAGTGAGAGCTGCACAACGTTTGAGAGATTTTCAGGCAGGTTTTAGGAAGGTCAGATGTGATTTCTGGATTGCATGTGGGTGCATGCACACAGTGACCTCTGTCTTCTACTTTTTCCATTATGTTAGTGATAAAGGTGCTATAGCCACCTAAGCAATTAGGTTGAAACTTTATGATGTGCTTCAAATCACTATCTACTCAACAAAGTTGGGTCTTGTGGTCAAGGAAGTTATGTAGGAGTTTTGGACTCACATCCCATTATAAATGTTCAGCTATATCATCAAACTGTCTGGATGGCTGAGCCCAGAGAGTGGTAGTGACTGGCAGCCAGTCACAGGTGGTGTTCCCCAGCGCTCATTTTTGGGGACAGTTCTGTTTAATATCTTTATCAATGACCCAGACAAGGGGATCAAGTGCACCCTCAATAAGTTAGCAGAAAACATCCCGTTAGGTGGAAGTGTTAGGTGGGAGGGTAGGAAGGCTCTGCAGTGGGATTGGACAGACTGCTGAGGCCATTTGTATGAGGTTCGATGAGGCCAAGGGCAGGGTCCTGCACTTCAGTCACAACAATCCCGTGTGGAGCTACAGGCTGGGGCAGAGTGTCTGGAAAGCTGCCTAGTGGAAAAGGACCTGGGGGTGCTGCTCAACAGCAGCTGACCATGAGCCAGCAGTGTGCCCAGGTGGCCGAGAAGACCAAAGGCACCCTGGACTGTATGAGGAATAGTGTGGCCAGCAGGACCAGGGCAGTGATTGCCCCCCTGCCCTCGGCACTGAGGATAACACACCTCGAGTGCTGTGTCCAGTTCCGGGCCCCTCACTACAAGAAAGCTGTTGAGGTGCTGTGGTATATCCAGAGAATGGCAGTGGAGCTGGTGAAATGAGTGGCTGGTGTTGTTTATCCTGAAGAAAAGGAGGCTCAAGGGAGAGCTTAACACTTTCTACACCTACGTAAAAGGAGGTTGTGGCAAGGTAGGATTCAGTCTCTTCTCCCAAGTAAAAAGTGTCAGGACAAGAGGAAGAGGCCTCAAGTTGCACCAGGAGAATTTTAGCTTGGATATTAGGAAAAATTTCTTCACTGAAAGAGCAGACAAACACTGGAACAGGCTGCCCAGGAAAGCTGTGGAGTCACCATCCTTGGAGGTATTAAAAGACACGTACACGTGGCACTCAGGAACATGGTTTAGTGGTGGACTTGGCAGTGCTGGATTAATGGTTGGACTCAATGATCTTAAGGGTCTTTTCCAACACAAAAAATTCTATAATCCCACGATCACTGGGGTACAGATTATGAACAAAAATAGAGATAATTATCGTCATCTTTGTCCCACCTTGTTTTTACCTATAGGACAATCTGACAGTCTGAGGCAGGGACTGTATGTCTATACAGTATTTGGTCCAGGGGAGACTTTAAACAATATCTAGTAACTGATATTTTAAGTAACCTTAGTAACTTTATAATTTAGCAACTTTAGTAACGAGAAATATTATCAAGGTTGCTGATCTAATGCCAACAGTGACCTCTCCAGCCTTATAGTAGATAACAAGCCAGGTCTCATTTTTTTTGTCAGTAATGTCTGACATGACCAGAATGATACAATGTTATCTCATTGTGAGGGCTGCTTTCCACAGCCAGGCCTTTCTGAGTACCTACATGCCTTAATTTTCAATCACTTGGTTTACTTGCTTTGTTTAAAGGAGTTTCTTAACACTTTAGGGATTCTTTTCATTGTTCTGTGACTGACTATGCTTATTGTTTTTATGTCTTCAGATCAGCTCTACAACCTTGACCCCCAGGCGATGGTAGAATTTGAAAATGGAAACTTCAACTTCACATTTCCCAACCCCCAAAATGTGAGTGAGTTCAGCATGACCCTCTTCAAAGGGAAAGAAAAGAAGGAAATCTGTACACTCCATTTGAATGAAGAGAATGTTTTCCCCAAGAGTAATGTCACCTACTGTGAGACGAAGAATTCAAATACCAGCACCACCTTCATTCTTAAAAATCTGGAAAGAAAGCATATGGACATTTATATCTACTGTCTGGAGGTATTCTTCCCCCCTCCTTATATAGATTGCCGCCTGAAAGAAATCTGTTTGTACATCCCAGGTAAGTTTACTTCTCCCCTCACTTCAGTTTACTGATAAGTAGACATTAGGCATAGCTATGCTGCAGTGAAAAATGTGACTAGAGTTTGCACAGCTATTTACAGGACAGCCTAAAACTACTTAGCAGGGGGGTGGTAGCAGTGGAGCTGTGTTGGCAGGCTGATCAGCATGCCTTCTCTGTATTTATTCATCTTCTTGGGCGGGTTTTTTCAGGCCATGCTGAGCTTTGCATACTGTTGGTGGCAGCCAAGTTAGCTAGACTACAGCTTTTGGGGTACTGCAGTCCCACCTTTGCCTGCAGCAGAAATTTCCCTTGTCCATTTTCAAGCTGCTGAGTGTAAATGTTAAGGATAAACAAAGATAGAAGCTGAAATGCTGAGGCTACAATTATGTGGTTGGGTCAAATTATCTCTCAGCCCACTCTGAATTTAAAAAAGATTCTCAGAATCAAGCTGTGACATTTGATTTTGTCTGCAGTGTCCATTTCCATTTGTATGGATAGCCAGATGTTCCTAGTTTTTTCCAAATGTTTCATGCCCTATCATATTTTCTCCCAGATCTGGGCAAGGGTGATCTTGTGTACCTCAGCTTGCTTTCCTATCCAAATATGACAGCAAAGGTCTACCCCTTCTTTTGATCAGGCTGCCCTTTAGATCACCTGTGGTACTCACTGAATGCAAGCTGAAGCCTTGCTCAGATCTGAAATATCATCATGCTCTCGAGCCTGACTTGGTTTCTATTCAGTCTACACTTTGAGCACTGTGTACCCACAGTTTCACCTCTCCTTCTGGAAAACTGCAATATTTTGCTTCCTGCTGAATACACTTTTCCAAGGCGGTGATTCAGCTCAGGAAAATTCTTCTCCAGAGCTCACTTTTGCTAATTTTTTAATATGAAGAGAAGAGTGAAAATAATTTGAAGTTATCTGTAGGAGGCAAAAATGCAAATTGTCAGAAATGACTTTTTTTTGCGTCCCCATGGCCAGATAAGGAAGACTGCTTTTCACTGGGACAGGAGTCATGGGTAATTATTGGCCTGATCATGGTTTCCCTGATTTCCTGTGTCTGCTGTGTTGTAGTCTGTTGCTTAAGGAACAAGGTAAGCAAATATACAAGATTATGCAGAACCATTTTTCTGAGGGTCATGGATGGGGAACTTGATTTAATGAGATTTAAAGGGTGGGACGGGCACATACTCACTGAGCACGTGAGGTGTTTTTTGACAAGAAGACTGAGTTGTTAATTTACCACTGGAATTCAGTCATTGATGGCAGCAGCTCAAATTTAATTTTTCGAAGACAGAATTGTTTATCGATTTAAAGTCTGGGCACCAAAAGAAAGAGGAGAAATGCTGCACGGGTCAGCAAAATTACTTTGGTAAGAAATTCACCTGACTGTTTTCTTCAAGAAGGGGAAACAAATCATCAGTGGAGCAATTTCAGCACTGTTCTGGTGCAAAACCACTTAAACAAAGAACCATTTGGAAAGAAGGAAGACCATGGACATTAGCTATTTTTTTGGGCAATGCGTGTTTTTAATTTTCAGTTTGTTTTATTGCAAGTTTTCTTTGTGAATGCCTGTAGATTCTGACTTTATTATTCCCACTGAAAACAGACAGAGTTACTGCCCTACTTAAAGAACAAAGGCAGGAGTGGCAAAGGTTAGTGACCACAAATTAATTCATGGTATTTTCCCTCTGTTGGCAGATTCAAAAGTGTGACTCCAACTCCCACGAGTACAACAGTGAATACATGCCCATGGCAGCAGTGAATGCAGCTAAAAAACCAAGAATCTGAGGTTGTACGAAGCCTAGTTATACTCATATATCTGTTTGTGTCTCTTACAAGGCTTTCTCTGGGAGGGAAAGGACTGCTTGCTGTCTCTGCCATTGCTTCTAGATGGGTGGGTGCCTGGGTGGGATTGTTAGCATAGCTTGTTAGTGGAGTTCATGCTGCCATCTTGCAGGAAGATGAAATTAAAAGCAAAATCTCTGAAAACCTTTTGAATCATAGTGGTAGGCTGGTTCCTAGAAATGCAACTGCTTCGTGTCTGTGCCATCTTATGCATGAGGAAGAGATAAGAAACCGTTCCATTCAGAATCTTCAGATGATGTGTGGTACCCAAAATCTTTCTAGGGAAGTGATTTACTAGATTTAATGAGTGTTACTGGCTAAAGGCAAGTATTCTGTAGAGAATGAGGAACTTCCTACCTGCTCAAGCCCTTGCCTAGTAGTCAGAAGCTACTGGCTACAGAACAGAACAGAAGAATTTGGACTGATTCAGACATATGGGGTGTTTCATGTAACTGATTTTCCATTTCTGTTCTAGGCATAAGTTGCTTGTGGTGTGGAAATTTTGGAAGCACAGTTTTCCAGCTACTTGAACCTGGACAATGGGAAGTCATCATTTCCTCACCTTTCCCAGCCTCCCTGAGCTCTCATGATGATCCTGTGCTCAGTCATGAGACACCCAGCCCCGTACTGTTCTGAGCTGTGTTTTGCTCTAGCTTTGTTTGTTAACTGGCACCCTGCCCAACCCACTGACTTGGACATGAAGTGCCAACAATGTGTTAAAGATGTCAGCTTGTAGTTGAAGAAAATGTAGAAAATGAGTTTGCTCTAGAGTAGATTGCTGTAGTGCTGCCACAGAGAGAACTTTTATTTTCTAGTCTCCTTTATGACAAACTTTCCACTGGTGACAAAAAAAAAAAAAAGACTACCTCCAGTGCCAATCCTTGTGGCACAGCCATACTGTCAATGTATTGCACATGCCCTTCATTTTGGGCTACTTTAGCAGGGGAACAAAACCCAAGAGTGTACAGCAGAGAGTACAGCAGAGACTTCTCTGAGGCACAGTACCTCAGGTATGTGATCTGCATTTTTTGTATCTGTGCTGTCAGTACATCTTTGCCATTCACACCTCGGGGCTCCCCTTATTTAATTAAATTCTGAATGCTTTTACTAACAGAGGAATATATTACAAGATGAATATATTTCAAGCCTGCAATTTCTCTTTAGATCAGTTCAAATCTTCAGGATCAGACCCTGAACTAGGAGGCATGATCTCTCCTATTCACATGTCTTGCAGCACAAACATGACACAGTCCATAAGGCCCGTATGGCCTTGTGTCCATATGGACTCTGCACTGCAATTAACTTCCTCTTTTGGTTTGACATGAAACCTTTACCACTTCCCCAGTGGGTTTAGGGGTTACTTGACCTGCCTGAAATTGCTGAGAGCCTTCAGTATGAATGAAACAATCAATCCTTCATACTCCTTGTGAAATCCATCAAAACTCTGACCATAAATGACCAGCTGGGAATCCAAACTGCATGTCTTGCCAGACGCCATTTGGCTGCTAGAGTGGTACATTGATTCTGAGCCTCTCTGTAATACATTAAAAAAACAGGCGTTGGGCAGAGGACACTGCTGAGAAAGATACACCGCCTGCTTGTCTGGCAGAGAGAAGGCTGCTTTCACAGGGCAAATGGGGATGAGGAGGAAATAAGCTGGTATATCAAGAGCAGGGTTTCCCTCAACAAGCACCTGCACACACAGAAGTATTGCAGAGAGAAGGTGCAAATTGCTAACTGTGACATTAAGCAAAGGGAAAGTAGTGAGGCACTGAATGAGGTGGGGACTGCCAATTACACAGCCCCTACCCTGCTCAGTAACCAGCTCCTTGGCAGGGATGCCGAGGGCACCCTGCTATGTTGGGTAACATTACATTCTGTCCCATCTTCCTGGCACATAACCTCTGCCAAATTACTTGACCTCCCCAGCAAACAAAGCTCTTCTCTGTACCTCCACAAATACACCCATCTCACCGTTTTAAAAAAGCATTGGTGAAATTACTGCCTTTGAAAATTATTGGTGAAAACAACTAACCTCTACTACCTATGAGAAATACTAGGTGCAAGATCCTATGTAACAGAGGAGAATCCTACCCCCTGGAACCTTTCACCAGACTGAGATGGAAATTCATGAAGTAAAGAGTTTCTGAAAGAAGGAAAAACTCGAGGTTTGACTTGAGATGTTGCCGGATAAAGGACAAACGATGAAAGTGTGAATAAGGCAGTTTAAAATACATACATCCTGCACTGGAGAGAGAAATTATTTATATTCATTATAACATTGCATTTGGAAGCCTCAGGTTCCATTACTGCTTTCTTTCTGGAAAAATATATTTTTATTCTTAATAAAACATTTTTTTATTATGCCATATGTGTCCACAAGAAAGTTCATGCGTGAATACACGTTACGTGAAAAAATTAAGCTCTGTAAAGTCCACAGCACAATGGGGAGAGAAGAGAGTACAGGAAAATTTATCCCTGTATAGCATCTTAGCGGGAAGCAGGAAAAGGAGTAAGGAAAAAAATATTAAAAAAGTGAAAACCAAAAATTTGGCCCTGTTTCTATGCAGTGAGATAGTGACCTATCAGTTTGGATCTGTTTGTTTCCTTTTGTTTTCATGAGAAAGTCTTTTTTGATATTGTCCCATCTCTTCTTCCTTTCCTTTAACCCCTTATGCAGGATACTTATAACATTCATGATTAATTTGGGACATTTTTCAATTTCTTTCTGCTGTACTTCAATACCTCAAAATTAAAAGTAGCTGAAAGAAGACAAAGGATGACAAAATGAGGAAAAAAAAAAGAAAACACCATGAAAAAATAACACAAACTGAACCTATAGACTGTGTGACAGAAAGGATTAAAATAAAATAAACAAATAAAAAAAGCCCAATATTCTAACAGGTCATCATCTCAAAAAGTAAAACCTCTCTTTGGAAACTCCCAGTTTTGGAAAAAGACCATTTTAGCAGGAAAAAAATTCAAATAAGAATATTACAGCCAACTCCTCTAAAAAATCCTCTTTCAAGACAAGCAGAAGCTTGAGAATCTTCCAAATAACAGCCAGGAAATCAGAGGTCTGAGGGTAAAATAAACTACTAATATACAATCTCAACCTATGTTTTCTCGGTTTGCTACGTAATGGTTTAGGATTGTCACAGAAATTGTACAGTTGATACTCCACAAGGAAGGTTCTACAACCTCTCCCTCTACATCCTTGTCTTCTATCGTTTCATTGAGATTATTACTGAAAAATTATTTTGGTTAGGGTCTTTCCAGGAGCTGAATCTCTAACAACAGCGGTCATGTAAAATCAGTTTCTGTCACTCGACATCTAATGCAAGATTCAGTGTCAGTAAGCTGCTTTCATCCTTTCTGATTTATAACTGGTATAACTCACCCCACATGTATTTACACCCACTAATACTCTTTAGCTCTTCCCAGTCTGTACCAGTATGGAGTATATGAAGACAAGAAGTCAATAAACCCAATAGGTATGTATGGCAAAGAACCACTCGTGATCTTGAAGGTTAAGACCTGAAATAAAAAAATTTACGACTTCAGAAAAATTATTTTGCTAAACAGATAGAGTGATCTGATGTGAACAGGTGAAAGATGTACAGGATGACAACTTCAGCTACTCCAAAATGTAAGGAAGGATAAATGATAAGTATATCATAATGTGAAAATCTGCACATCTTGAGTTGGTTTGAAATCCAGACCTTGATATGTATTTTGCAAGCTTATCTTCCCAGCCTGCATTATGAACCCAAATCTGAATGCTCTAAGAATTTAATGATTAGCTTCAAGATGGCAATTTCATTCCTAATATATAGTATAGGGAATGAAATGACACTAAGAGGGCCATTTTCCCTTAGTACAGGTATTTCACTGACTTCAAAGTTCAAATAGTTCTAAGTTCTACCATATTTCTTCCAGACTTTAAAAAGTTTATTTAAGGCTGGGGAAAAGAGGCTCCCAAATTTGAGTAAAGCAAACAAATGAATCACAGGATCAGTACTGATGATATCGTACACCACTATTCATAAAGTGTTTTATAATGTGGGGAGTCCCCTAGGCATTTGAATCTATAAGTTGCCATGCAGAAGAACACCTTAATAATAAAACAAAACAAGAAAAATACAGGGTAATTGAAACTATTTAGTTAAAAATAAATCTATTCAGTTAGTAGGGACTTCTGCTCATGCAAGGTTTACTGGGGAGGTAGTCTCTGCCTTTGGTTTGACTTTAACTGCAACGAGACACTCCATATACCCAAGTCCCCTAAGTTGTCCAGTCCATCATTGTTATAGCAGCCTCCCCACTGTCATAAAAATTTCTCATTTTCTTGAGAGATGAAAGTTTGAGATTTGTGTTTATGTTCTACAATTATGAGTTCACAATTCAGTGTGTGGGGTTGCTTGGAGAAAAGGGAGGAATAGGAAGGATTAAACAGCTTTTCTGGCAAAATGAACTGGACAGGTATGAACTGGAGATATGAAGAAGAGGTCAGGGGGTGAATTTCATCTAAATTCATGTGCCTGAGCTATTTAATTTCTCCTGGGAGCAATTAGATCTTGTATGGTTTGAGATCAATTTTTAAAAAGAGATAAATCAGCTCTGATCATCAACAAAAAAGATTTAGTGGCTGCACACATCAAGCATAATCATTTTTAAAAACTGCAAACACTAACAACTTTGAAATATCTAATGTCTTCCATGTCTTAAATCTTGCAACACTCCTCCCAGTTTTTAGTACGCTGTTGGCAAATCCATCACCAAGGATATTTCATCCTCTGTCCCAATGCACTGCAGCAGCAAGTTCCATGCAGTTTATAATAGTGTGTTGCCATCTCTCAGAATTGAGGCCAGGATTTAATCTCTGGATTGTGCAGACTTGCAAGGGGCTGTTCCCTTTCCCTGTGCTGAGAAGGAAGGCTCTTTTGCTGTGCTAGGGTTCTTCTGGAAAAATCTCTGAAACACTGAGAAAACTGGAAATTTTGTTAGCACCAGTTAATGAGAAAAGGGGGGAGAATATTGCCTTCCAAAGGTGGCAGTTTGTACACCATCTATGGAGCATGAGAACACTGCATAGGCTTTTCAGGCACCAGAGGCCAAATTTTGGAGAAGGAAGCTCAAAACTGGGGTTCTCAGACCTTTTGCTGGCTTGCTTTCCTCCTCCGCAAAATGTAAACTACTTGTTTTTATTTATTCAGTCAAATGATTTCCCCTTTGAAAACTGAACACCCTTCCCTGAAAAAACCCCAAACAAATCCATCTCCCACCAGCTCCCCCCCTCCCCCCCAAAAAAAGAGGGGGGGAAGAAAGAAGAAAGGATTTGCTCATTAAGGCTCTTTTGGGCCTGCGTGAAACAATGGATGCTGTATTAAGCATCTGGCAGAGTGCCAGCAGAAGTCCCTATTGATCCTCCTATCTATGGATCCTCCTGTTGATCAGGCTGGTGTATGGCTCCCATGCAACTGGGTAGGACTATGACCATGAGACAAAGGGATGACAGAATCTCTTAAGGGAATCAGAGCTTAGTGCTGCTGCTCTCATGAAACAGAGCTATACTTCAGTAGCTCTAGCTACCTACATCCTTGAAAGCCAGACCAATACTTGTATTTCCATCCCTATTCCTCTCTCTGTCTCTGCTGTTCAGTCACAATCACAGGTCCATTGAAATCCATCCCATGCCCTGGCTCCTCTTAATACCTGTGCTTCAGAGACCCAACCAGGACTTTCTCTTCTGCAGCAGGGAAGCTCTCTGGGACATTGGCTGTTGGTGGAAGGACTTTACAGTGGCTCACCTGTGCAGAAAAGGGAAGCTCAGGGAAAGGGTACAGCAGAAGCCCCTCCTTGGATATACAGTGGTCATGAAAGGGAAATTAAACACATTGCCATGGCTGTGTTAGAGGGGTGTGTGGGTTCCAGGAGTGTAAGGAAAACAAGATAAATGA